GGTCGAAGGTCGTCGAGGCTCATCGCGTCGCTGCGAGCGTATCTTGGAAGGGGTAAACAGTTGTTTCCTAATAAAATTACTGGACTTCACTCGTCGGAATCTGAGGAAATATGTTGATGAATATGAGTGAACTTGATATTTGTATTGATATATTTATATTTCCAAGGCCGTTCCGACCAAATATGTCGGAACGCGTGGGAACACCCATTTAGAAATTTGACTACACTTTGATTGGATAAATATATCTCTTCTTTAACTCTGATTGGCTTCGATATGAAATGGATGCCTCTGATTGGATGTTAAGCGCAATACTTTATTCAAGTGCGGTCAGAATATTGACTATATCTATTCATATGGAGACTTTCCATGCGTAATAGGGTACACCGAATCAGGGCGTTACTTCCGTCCATTACCCATCCCAACACATTTTTCCTGTACTATGCACAGTATTTTCATGATCATATGTCAAGAATTTATCGCAAGGAATACCCTCTTCCTATTAAGTACGCTCGGAAAGTGCCTCAGCTGCACAACTTTGCACTCTGAGGTATCGCTAGGAAATAATCCATCGTTCCCTCGAAAATAATTTTTCCTCGTTGGTTTGCAAGGTTAGAGCACCACGTGACAAACCAACATCCTCGACCATGCACTTCATGCGAGCCGGAGACGTAATTTGAAATTTGAAATTTTCGCGGTATTTACAAGCTCTCTATCGCCCGAGCGCGGAGACGTCAATGGGTTCACAGTGGTGAGCAAGCGCCGTTGGTCAGGCAACCGCCTTTTCTGTGCAATTAATTTCTTGTACTACAACAGTATTTGGAAAAATTTGTTCTCAAAAATGACAATCCCTTCGTTTATTTCGGTTAGACAATTCACAGTCAGCTGTTCTGATTCGTTATTGTTGTGTTTATTCTAAACTGGAGCGACATGGAGAATGAATCGACACAACCAAATGTACACAAGAATCGGGAGAAGGAAATAGCCAATCAGATTGCAGGAAATCATCAACAACGTTAAATTAGTGTGTGACTTCAATTGGTGTGATTCCAATCACCACAGGACACGATCGATAGATTTGGCGATTCATTACAAAAGTCGAAACTTTGGGTTAAAAGGACAATATAAACTTCCAAAATTCGCGTAGTTTCTCTAATCTTTATTGACAGTGAATCTCGTTGGAGTTCTGATTATACTTGTCCTCTACACATCCCTGTCACGCAAGATGGCAACGAAGAAGTCCGTCCTATCGACAAGCAATGGCGCCCCACTGCCAAACCATGGGCTCACGGCATCGCAAACTGCGGGTCCGCATGGACCCATCGTCCTCCAAGACTTTGCCTTGCTCGACCACCTTGCCCACTTTGATCGCGAACGAATTCCCGAGCGCGTGGTGCACGCCAAGGGGGCTGGTGCGTTCGGGTACTTTGAAACGACGCACGACATTTCGTCGGTGACAAGCGCAGCGCTGTTCTCTGCCGTGGGGAAGCGAACCCCCATCGCCGTTCGGTTCTCGACC